TTTCATGTCAGTGTTCTATATGTATGTATGTACATACATTTAGTTTTATAAAGTATACCTAACATACATACCACGTTTGATATTAACGAAGTATACCGAAAACATAGTACTTGCCACATTTTTTATATATATTTTACAAAGCTGATCCGAAATCCTTTGAGATCACTGTACATAAATAGCTTTCTAAAATATCGACTAAAGTAACAATGATTTTAGAATAAAGATTCGTTTTCGATATTTATTTTTATTCGGTTAATGGAATCAACAATCTTGAGAGGGTTTGTTCTTAAAAAAAAGCGGTTTCTAACGCATCGAGAAACATGAAAGGGGAAGATACAATCCTTGTTTATGGCGGATCTTAAGGAAGCTCCGTTTTCCGAAACGCACTCATACATAATGCATTACATTTACCGATAGCTTCTCCCCTTGGCACGGAGAAAATGAATGGCTACGAACAATATAAAACGCTATACATTTCTCTTGGACAGTGGTTTCCATCGGAAATACTGTTAATCATATTGCAGAGATGTTTTATTAACAACGTTAGATAAACGGCAGAAACTGGCTTAAATTACTTCCCACGTTCTAACTATAATAACCGTGAAATCATTATGAATTGAATTTGTAATGGGACGTAAACAATGTGTTTCGAAATCTATACGATAATAACTTGTATAACAAACGCTTGTCAATGCCAAACAAAGAGTATATTAATAGCACGAGAATGATCAAAGCTGTTAGGCGACTGTAGCTCAAAGCCCGCAGATTCTTCAGAACAGAATGGAACAAGTTTAGTCAAAGGAAATGGTGAACCATGAAACAGCAGGAAATTGTCCTTCCATCCTCAAATCCTTTTCTCTGTTAATGACATTTTCATTACTGTAAGAACAGGTATTTTAAGAGATCTAAAGGAGCTATTAAGTTATTTTAAAAGAATGAAGTAGATCAGTCTTTTAATTTTTATACCATTTTATCAAATTAATATCAGAATTTTATGTAAATAAAATCCATAATATCCAAATTTATACATATAATTGCGTTCATGCAATCTAATATTTCGAATAACAATTATCGAGGCATCATCAATTGTCACGTTACACGCGTGACTTTCGGAATTTGAAACTGAAGATGCTTACGTGGAAGCAAGGGATAAATGAGCCTGATATAACGAAGAGCATGCCTTCCGAGGTGGACGATTATCCAAGACAATGGTAGCCATGGCGACGGCACAGTGTATCGAAGAAAAGTACATTCGTTTCTCGGCTTTCGAACGACTTGAATGAGGGTGGCGAATCGAAGGTGCCGGAGGAAACTCGTACAACTTAGCCGGAGGGAGAAGAACAAAGATTTTCTACCACCCACCTAGGACGGGAACTCGACCACTTCACCCCGTTTTTCCTTCCTCATCCATCCATAAAGCTTCTTTAGGGAACATTCAGCCATTCCAACCACGAATTTACTTTATCACTTGTCGGATCGCGTTTTAAGCTCGCCATTATCGCTCGGAAATTTTCAAGCCGAGTCCACGCGAAGCTCATACGCTGTTATGAAACCGATTAAGCGGCGATGCACTTTTTTTTCTTGAAACCCATTAGCGATACGCTGAGACAAATGTTAATTCAAGGCTCTTGCGTGAAAGTAAATCCGCGTATGTAGTCTGATCAGATTTGCTCCAGAGCTGTGGAAACATTTAAAGACATGACCACGTAAAGCCTCGTAAGAACAAATTTTTCTTTTGTATTTTAGTCTTTATAACTAGTAATGCTTGTTAATGCCTAAAAGTCAATTAAAAAATGGTATAAGTCATGAAAAAGTAGTCGCGTAGGACATAAGAAATTTTTAATTTCGTAGTCATTATGTGAAGCTACAACAGAATAAAATATATACAAAAAAATTAATTTAAATCGAAAATTGTTATTAAAAATTAGATTA